GATAAGATTTAATTTGCTACGGTTAGTTTAAAACTGAATTTTACCTTTGCGACTATACCATTAAGTAACTGACTTGAAGAGACTAACGAGACTTAGTAATTTATTCAGAAACAAAATGGAATTTTAGACAAATTATGAGTTGAACCTTTACACCTTGTACTTTATTAATCTCCAATAAAAAGAAACACATTGAGACAAATTCACATTATGCATGCGTTAATTTGAAAAATATTTTCTTGATTTCAAAATTCACTGGAAAAAACGCATTYCSTTGTTTTGTGTTTTTGCAWGCCGCATCTTAAGAATAAATAAATAATCTGCATTAATTTACGAGTGGTGAGGTTTCTCAAAGAAAAATCGAACAATAGTGCCATTCCCTTTTTTTTCAAAAGTTGATTGTGATTCATAATCATGGTAAAAAATTCAATTATTTTAACTGTTCAGAGTTTTTGCATTCATAAGCAGCTGCTAAGTATAAGTCGACGAAGTGAAGKTCCTCTTCCAAAGCTTGGCAGTTTTAAACTTTCTTTTTACAWACGACGTTGGCCGTGGTTACTACTCCTGTGTTGTATGTGGCGTCTGTATTGCGAAAAAGCATATWTAATTAATTAATTAATTAATTAACGAGAATTTACGTTGGTCATCAACTTAATATACGGACTGCTGACATACAACATTTAGGAACATATACTACCTTTAAGATCCTTGACTTCTTCCTCGGTCAGTGGACGATCGAACACTACTAAATGACGTATTTTTCCTTTCATCACTGCTGCAGTTTCTCTGTTGTAGCCAATATCGAATACATCGCCTGGTGGGTTYGGGAATCCAATTCCGTTTCTATTACTGTCTTTTACAAGCTCCTGGTTTACTTTTTCTCCGTTGATATACAACGATGCTAACCCTTCTCCAAAGGCATAACGGTTCCAGATTCCGACAACGTGCACCCACTGGTTCTCTTTCAAAGCCCTCAGTCATAGAAAATAAAGTAAAATAATAATTAGTGAAATATTGAATATGTCTTCGGAAATTGTCCTTTGGTAGCATAATTGTAAWATTATATGTGTAATTATGTGAGATTTATTGAGTCTTAGCTTTCGCCGTCAACGGCATCATCAGAGACTTAGAGACAATTTAGTGATGATGCCGTTGACGGCGAAAGCTAAGACTCAATAAATCTCACCGATACAGTAGCAAAGCCTCACTCGATAACTCATATAATTGAAATGTCTGTTCATCAGAAAAGAGTCAGTGCGAGAGAGGCAACTGCTTATAGGCCTACTGCGGGTCAGAAAGTTGCCTTAAGAAGCATTAAGCTGCAACAGTGCCCCGCTCAATTTACCCTCATTTTTAAAGTTGCGGTGACTTAAGTCGACTTTCTGGTCCGGAGTAGGCYTGCTTATTCATTGCATTTGAATAGTATGAGGTCAACACCATTCCATAGTTACTCTTGATGCACAACCCAAAACCCCCATGCTTTTGATAAGAAACAAGTTGCTGGCCGTGAACATCCTTGGGGTGATTGCAAATACACGAGAGGTTAATTAAAACATGAAATAATTAAAACAATTATAGCATTAATGTCAACAAATTCTGATTCAATTTCGAAAATTTCAACTTACGTTCCGTGTTTAACTTTAAACCGCGTGCCTTTTTGGAAGTATACTTTCCTGGCCGTGAACATCCTTGGGGTAATTGCAAATACATGGGGATTGCCCCATGACGAGTAAACCTGTGACGAGGTATCTGCCGTAGTAAATTGGCTGRAATCCGGAGACTTTATCCAGAATGAAAGAGTGGAATTCTTTTGTGAGATTGGAAACTTTGGAGTTGTTGCAAATGAGCCTGCAGTTCCTGGTAACTCAAGGACAGTGGTTGCAGCTTCGTCGTCTCTTGTATATGTTGCATTRCCATTTTTTCTAGAAACGTTTTTATGGTGTTAGGAGSTGTTTACATGGAGGTAGGGTCGCCCTATCAGGTGGGTTACCAAATCTCTACGTAATACTGCATTATTCAGTTCTTCGCAATACAACACATTTTCGTGCGTTCCTGGTGAAATAAAACACTCAAAAGGCTGAAAATCTCTYGCCTCCAACCCTTTTCGTGTTCTCACAACATCCCGACTCCCTGAGTGGTTTATTTCACCAGGAACGCACGAAAACATGTTGTCTATTGCTGTAAAATTTATTTTTTATGTCAGCCTTTTTATGTAATACTTTATATGGCGTCTTCGCTTAGCCGAACACGTTGACGACACAGGACACCTGAAGTTAAACTCTCTATAATCTGTTTCTAAACTCTTTTTMCAGAAAATTGATAGAGCACTACTTACACGACATCTGAATCCGATCCATCAAGCTTCCAGATCTTTGTTGCTCCCATTTTATCTAAATTGAGATAAGGTTTATTCGGTTTTGCATCTAAAAAATTGATAAAGAAAATAATTAGCCAAGAAGAAGAAGAGAAAAGGAGGTGATGAAGTCATACAACACGCAATTCAACTTACGAAAATATTGTATATAACAGAATACAATTTACCAGGAAAAACTCCAGCAATAAATTCCGAGTTTAATTCATTGACGATGTTGGTAAGCAAGGTTGCTCCATTGGATTTGCATGCGGCTTTTGCCTCTGACTCGGTCATATTTTTAAGGTACTTGAATACAGACGAACCAAACTGAAACGAGCCATCTGGCAGAGCTAGAAGTCAAATATTACAAAATACRTTAGTTTGGATGTGTGCGTTACTTTACTCTCCAAATTCAATTCGATTCGAAATTTTTCTTAGCAGTCACACGCAACAAACTATAAGGACTGGGTATGGTATATTTGCGCTTGCAAAATTCTTTTGTACCAGGTGTCGGAATATTCAATATTCTTTATGACCATATTTGGAAAATTCCGTAGTTGGATAAGAGATGTAAGGCCGGCGTTCTGGTTGGCTATAGGGTATAAATTGAATTGTTCCAAATAAGGAAATGAGAKTCAAATTAGATATGAATATTCCAACGGATGGAACGGCGCTACACGTTTCAAGTCCCAAAATTGAATGTGCTTGGGTTGGTTAATTTAATGCGAATCTTACCTTTGCGAGTAGAACCATRATTAAAGTTACTGACCTGAAATAATTATTTATAGAAATATGGAATTTATCAATATATAAATTTAAAGAAAATTCAATCAGTCACACCTACCAATAGCTCACTATGGACTCCTCCATCKTTTCTGGCAAAGCATCGTTCATCATTAAAAGAATCCTTTATTCCTCTGACCAACTCACAAGTTTCCTGGCCATTATCGCCGTGGTAGCTATTCGTCGAGAAGCAGTTTAAGGTGGCTGCGCACATTTCTTGGCAGTCAGCATGATCTATAGTTAGGGTTTTGAATATTCCACACCRAAGTCTCTTGTTAATGTAGCGATCGAAGTTTGCCTTAGTGCAACGTAAATTATCACCCGCAGTCATGGCAACCACTAAGGTCAAGGCAATKAAAACTGTTTCCAGGAACACAATGTTTTAGTGATATTGTTCTGCTGAGCGAAGGAATATTGATTCCATGAAATACATGAAACGTGTTCCAAAAAAAAATATTTTTCTGGAACTAGTAGTATAGAGTCGTAATTTGTGAAAACTCCACAATTTTTGGTGGATCACTAAAACTTAAAAAAAAGCAGCATTTCGATCAGGACAAATCTCTTGCCCATATGAAGATTTGATTACGACAATAAATTTGATGAGGGTTGTTTGGAAAAAAAAAMSRWTTTTTTATCTAATMGATCTAAGAATCGTTCTACGGACTTTGAAAAACATTTCCGAGGACTTTTGAAAGCTACTTGATTCAGTTCCTTGTAATATCTTTCATGGTAATGACACATGCAATGGGGTTTTAACTACATTTTGAGAGAGAATGTCATTAGAACATGAAGCCATCTTGTTAAAAAAAAGCAAAGCTAAATATAACGTAATTGGAATGAACAGATTTTTAAGTCAAGTAATTTATGTATTTTCTCCTTCATGTTTTGTTTTGTTTTAGTTTTGTTATTAACTCGACTTCTTACTGCGCGAAAGATGAAGATTGAAATCATTTTAAACGTGTTCGTTTTTGTTGTTCTTTATTTAGATGGTTTCAACGGTTTCATTTTTTAGGGTTTATTTGCATGAAATCTTTTACTACAGCCATGGATTGATGGTTGCTGCTACAGTTGGAAATGAAAGCAAGTTCTTTTAATTCAATTTCTTTAAACTATTCTCCATCAACAAAATATTAAAACAAATTCATATTTTACCTTTTTTGAACTCACCGGAAGAAAAAGTCCAGTATCAGGTTGTGCTTTGATTCCGAAAATGACTTTATAATACCTCGCAATATGCTAAGGTCATCCTTCTGAAAACTATAAATATTTTAAAGTGCGTGGATTATTTGTATTCAATTTAATTATTGTTGTACCAGTTCCATAGTAACAGATTACAAACAGATGCGATAAAATCTGTGGTCGAATTAATTTTCAGAAATATTTGATTGACTTTGCATGGTAATTTCCTAGCGGGAGTTTTTTGATGCTAAAATGAGTTTTTGTTTTCATCTAAACTTTTAATAAGATAACCGGTTAAAAGCAAGAAATTAATTTATAACTTCATAGAGCGGTTTTTTTGTTACCGTATAATCCGTATTTCGTGCCTATTTCTCTTATAAACTCTTTATTACAAGTTGTTGTATTTTAAAGCTGATTTAGTTAAAGCTACATCTCTTTCTTAACAAGTGTTAGGTTAAATAATTCATAACTTGATGGACCGGTTTTTTGCAGCCATATAATCTATATCGTGCTTTACTATAAATGACTCTTTATTACAATTTGTTATATTTTAAGCTGATTTAGTTAAAGTTACATCGCTTTCTTTAAAGTGTTAGGTTAAATAACTTAATCAGTTATCAGTATGTTTTGAGTTGCTAAGCCAAATTAGTTTTGAGTTAAGGGCAACTGAGATGACCAAAAAATTAAAAGCTGAGACAAATTTCTCTTGGAAATGAAATAGAATTCATGCACCGCTCCTTGTTAAAGCTATTTTTTCGAAAGATAACAAAGTTGTCTCCTGTATTTTTGAAAATTTCTCCTAAAAACACTTTATTCCAACTTATAAAGCATGCGGGTTAATTGCATCTGTGTTATTGAAAGGAGATCTTGATGAAGGCCACCTATTTGCCACCTACTCGTCCCAGGCCACTTTCTTCTACAGTGGATCTTCACAAAGCAATCTGACATGCTCCGTTCTGGCATCCAGATCTCTCTCGTTAACTATATAAACTATTGAAGCTCTGTAACTTTAAAGTAAAAACAGAAATACCTTGGTGAGCTCCATAAAAACAACAACAGCTGACAATCAGTATTCTAGAGTATGTGATCGATCCTGAATTAAACATTAATCAGTGCGGCAGCTGATGTTTTATAATTATTCAAAGTTGGTGAAGTTCCTCTTCCATTGCTTGGTAATTTCAAACTTGCACTACTAAAATTAATTTTTTCAAAAGATAACAATGTTGTCTCGTGTATTTCAGAAACATAAATGAAATATTGAAGATTAATGAAACTTTTACCCAAAAACTTTTTGTTCCAACKAAATCAAGCCTGCAGGTTACAAAGTCGTGCTATTAAAAGGAGATCACACACAGATTTGAATGGAAGCCATTAATTAAAAGGTAGGATTTCATACCAACGAAAGAATGGATTTTGTTATGTCTTCCCCAGGCTATTTTCCCTTGCAGTATGACTTCACAAAGCAGTATGACGACATGCTTCCATTTTGGCATCCAGACCTTTCTMGCTAACTATAGACTAATGCAGCTCTGTGACTTAATACCCCGAGCTCCATAGAAGACAACAACTGACAATCAGTATTCTATWTCTAAAGTATGTGATCGTTATAATTTTCAACTTCTTTTATTAAAGATACCCACAAAACAATTAGAAAAAAAGTACTCTACCGGGCTATTTCGGCTTTAAAGGAGCCGTCCCAGGGTGATGCTTTGCGCGCTTATGTTATTGTTTACATACGGCATTGTCCAACGTGTAAAACCGAATAATACCAAAGTATCTTTAATATTTTCAAAAATTCTTACTAGATCTCGATTTGAATTGCCAGTTTATGGCCAAAACTACACGCTGTGAATGCATTTGGGTCATCGGTAGCTAATTAGGTGATGAATTAGACGTTTCTTCGAATATTCGAGCCATGAAACGGACGCCGAACAAGATGAAGTAGCGACCGATCAAGCTCGCCAAAGGAGTGCAATATTAGTTAACTCTATCTTTAATGAGTATTCGTCTTCTCTTTAGTAGTAGAAATAACGGCTGATTTGTATTTTTATCGTGGCTTCAGTATAGTTTTGCTCTTGCAAAAATTCATGTAGCAGAACAATAACACCGCGCCGACTAGCAGGCTGTCGGCGAAGCAACAGTTCCACAAACTCACTATTATTCAACTGTAAAAGACCCATTCTGTCCTTTGTTTCCTTCCAATGTTCGTATGTCGTGGCCTTTTGAACGTGATATCCCTCAGTTATTTCTTCTTTCCGACGTGGACGACCGCGAGAAGATTTCCGTTACGTTGATTTGGAGCCATATCGGCAAACTCAAAATAAGACGTTTAAAAAGACTCAATATTCGAAATAATTCAAGAAAATGAATATATGTTACATAAAGAACTAATATATATCGAATTTATAAGGAAAAAGTTAGAGATGTTTCAGATTTTAGACGGATTGTGTAAGCTATCACTAAAAATAATTTCGATGTCATCGAAAATGGCGCTGATCAAGGTCTTCGCTGTAATTCGAGGCGCGCAAAGCATCACCCTGGGACGGCTCCTTTAA